GCTTTTAGCAGTGGTTCGAGCCCTCAGCCCCTTGATGGACAGGACTTTCTCCATTTTGTGGTATCTTCCCTCCCCATCGGCATGTACGAGCACATGCTCCAAGCTTTCCTGAAGGCCGTCGCTGCCAGGTGGTCTGAGTCCTCATCTGTTTAATTGAGGCTGGGACTGTGAATCAGCCTGCCAGTACATGCTGAATTTCCACCTCTCTGGGCTATGAGGCCTTAACATTTGCCTGGTTCTGGCGTGAACTTTTCTCAGATCAGAGTGGCCGGTTCCGCTTTCTCACTGGTTTCCTGCCGGTGCCTTTGCACAGGGAAGCTGACCTAACACCTGCACCCTGCTGGTCAGCTGACGTCATTTCCAGGTTTTGCTCTTCTGTAGACTGATGTTTTACTGCGGTAATTCAGGTTAAAGACCATGCCTTAGTGTACAGATGCTGAGACTTGAACTGGCAACAGTCTCGGCTTTGCTGTGGCGACGCCCACTTTGGCATCATGGCTATGATGAGCTGTCTGATAAACACACTATCTGTCCATCCATCCAGCACAGGGGCATGGGAATCCCGGAGCCCGTGACTGGAAGAATAGGGCATGAGGCTGGGGACACCCTGGATGGGATGCCAGTCTATTCTAGGTCACATGTGCATACACATGCACATACACACACAAGTGATTTACTGACACATCATTTCATAGCCGCTGCCCCAGTGCCTTCCAGTTCACTTAAAATGTGCAGACCTCTTTACGGCAAGTTTATGGGTAACTGCATTATTTGGCTGCGATTTCTGCATGTCGGCTGAGTTGATGACTGAGAAAAGAGGCTTTGCTGCTGGTTATCATAAGCTAATGATTAGTGCTTGGCCTAGTTAGCACATAATCGGTCAAATCGGATCAATCCCCAAACACCCGAGCTTTTGTGCGGTTTGAGCACTCGTGCTAATATGCAGGAAATGTGAGAGTGCTTTGAGAATAATCATGAGGGCAGTAGCAGCTCGCCGGTTTACCTGCACTGTGCCTGCGCCTTGGGGCAGGTTCTAACAGCTGCTCAATGCACTTGCATTAAAAGCGTTCCTCGCGTGACGATTCCGCCTGCCCCCCAAACGGCCGTTGATGAATTATTTAGCAGTGCTTTCAGAGTTACGAATTCCATCACTGGACCATGCTAGCTGGCTGACAAGGTGTCATTTTTGATGGTAAAACACGAAAAAACTCTCCGTTCATTTATATGTGGGTTTACTGAATGGTCAGATATGGTCTTTAGCTGATGGATTATGAATCTGGGATGTTGGTAGATGGCTACAAGCCAGATTTTTCCAGATGTCCCTCATCTAACACAGTTTTCAGAGCATCGTCATGTGGAGTATGAACTTGTGACAGTGTGTTCAGGGAAGGCAGTCCAGGGGTCAAGCGTCTGCCTCCTGGTTGGATGGTCCACAGGTCACTGCCCCCTTTTCGATGGATAGAACACTTTGTCTCTGTTTCCGGGCACCCAGCGGGATTGATGACAAAGACACTGAGAGAGGATGGAGGGAGTGGGGGAGAAGGATGGAAGAGCTGTGCCAGTCTGTGGATGGTGCTCCTGATGGGGGGTGGAGAGAGAGAGAGAGAGAGAGAGAGAGAGAGACAGGACATGGGGCAGTGCAGGACCCCATGCATGGGCAGGGAGGAGAGAGAGCAGCTTAGCCGCTAATAAGGGAGGGCAGTGTGTAAGTTTGAGTGTGTGTGAGAGAGAGTGTGTGCGCGCGGATTTGCAGGTGTATTTATAGCCATCCTGTGGTGGGACGCCTTTCACACTCACGACACAGAACAGGCGGGAACACAGCGGAAAGAGGGGGAGCAGAGAGGAGAGCCGGGGGGAGAAGAGGAGCTGAAGAGGGCCTGCGTGAGCTCACATCTGTCCCAGGACGGGCGCTGCAGAGGCAGGGCTGAAGGGGCTGCGGTGTCCGTTGATGTCGGCGTGTGGCGGGCTGGGGCGAGGCGGGGCGGGGGTGTGCGCGGCTGATGAGGTCACGGCGCTGATCCGCTTACGTAGCCTACTGGGGTGCGTCTCGTGCGCGGCGGGTATTCTTGGCTACTGCTTCCGAAGGCGATGCTTGCCCTCGTTCTGGGGGACCCTGTCAGTGTTCGCTGACCCATCTGCGTGGGCCGGGCTATGCACGAGGGCTGCGTGTGGAATTTGGCAGAGGTCGCAGAGCCCTGTGCTGCTCTATCACCGCTCAATACCCATTTTAGTCTCGGCATACGTGAATGAAGACAGGACTGGACATGATCGGAGGCTGGAATCCAGCTGGCTTCGGTAAACGTGACCCCTCCCCCCTGCTCCCCACACTCCCTCTGTAAGGTTTTTTCCACTGTGTCTCAGACCCTGTGAGCTGCTCTGGCTAATCCTGCTTCGGGGAAAGGTACCCTGCTTCCCGGAACTCAGAATTCCCACACAGCATCTCCAGTCATAAACACGTTTTGCTTTCACTTTCATTCCATCCTTTGAGCCATAGGCAGGCAAGCAGGACGCAGGCATGATGCGGGCACTAGTAATTATCATCTGATCCTCCTGACTGCTTCATTCTGGATCTGGATTGACTCTGGCCCCTGTGGGCCCACAGCATCTCCAAGCAGCAGTCTGTGTCACGGTGTCTCATGGCTGAATCGGACACCGCATGGACACCCTGTTCACGGACAGCCATGTGATTCCGGCACATGGGCCGTGGGTGTAGCTGGCCGCTCTGCTACTTTCGGTCTTTGGACTTTTGGCCTTGATCTGAGGACTCGGGCGCTTAACATAGACAGCCTGTAATGGCTCCTTTTACTGCGGGGCTTTTTTTAGGGGGACTCCCAGCATTCCTCATCTGACTTCCTGGCGTTCCTTATCCAGGTTCCCTTCTCCCTCCTAGCCCGCCTGGACATCTGGTCTCACCTTTGGCCTGCTTTCGTTCGACCGTGAGCGACTCTCGCCACATCTTTGGAGGGGGAGAAGCACCAAACAGGGCATTTTCTGACTGGCGTCGAAGGTGGCAAGAAGGACCGCGAGGGGAGAGGGGGCGGGTCTTTGTTGGTTAGTGGGAGGATCCTAGTTTTGACGCACATGTGTGACTGAGAAGCTGGTAGGGGGGTGTGGTGGGCGGTCCTGAACGGCAGCGGAAGGCAAGAGCAAGTGAGAAGACGAGATTGAGCGAGAGAGATGCAATCTGCGGTCTGCTAGCTTGGGGGGGGGGGGGTCACTCAGCCGCCTGAGTGTGAGCAGCAGGTGTGCAGCGACGCCACGGAGCAGCTTCCTGCCTACAGGGGGTGTGCGCGCGCCTGCGTGTTGGCAACGCGAACCAGCTGGGCCTTGTGGTATCAGCCAAACCAAGCCTTCCCACGGCTCCCTGGGCTTCGCTGGGGGCATACGGACTGCGTCGCAGGGCCACGTGACCTGTGGGTGTGGAGGAGGCGAGTAAGAGAAAGGGGGCAACGAATCCGGGGCCAGGATGTGGCCGATGTACTATAACCAGAGCAGCCTCAGCGTCCACCTGCAGAGCCGCATGTGCTGCGCAGGTCAGTGTGCGCCTCTCTGTTTCGGAGTGTCTGTGCAGTTTGTGTCTGTCTGCTCTAGCTGTGTCTGAGTCTGAGTCTGCGGGTGTGTCTTCAGCTGCCCTCAGCTGTTTAGGGGACAGTTGTCACTGCATCTGTCAGAATATCATATTTGCCGTGATTTAGAAGCTGGCTCTAGTGTTACAGCAGCTGAACGCAGACTGCCTGTGTGAGGAGATGGTGCGGCGTGACCACGAGTGCCGTACGTTTCTCCCATGATGCACCACGCACGCGTCACCACGGATTGGGAAACATGTCCGGGGAGGGGGGGTTCAAGAGGCCCTTTCAGTTTGCGTGTTCTGCGTTTTGCCCAAAGTGTCACTTTCTCTTACCCAGGTTGGGTGGCCACTTCCTGTAATGTCACCGTGGTTAAGGAAGTGGCTTTATGATGAAGGGTCCGGATTCGAGTTACGCTGCAGGGGTCCAGACCATCGGCCCCTCGCAGTGCAGGTCTGCTTGTTAGTAAATAGCTGCTGTTGTACTGCTGAAGCACGTGGCGTGAGAAGCTTAGAGTGAGGTGTGAGGTGTAATCCTCAGCCCGGCTGCGGAAACTGGGCCACACGGATGGGAGTGCTTCCCGTGGCTTGCGTGACACGCCGGCATGCGTATAGCTACCCTGCGTGGCTGCGCGTGCCGACCAGAGGAAGTGAAACGCGTTACCTCCCCTACGTGCTCTGCCATTGTGTTGTCGTCGTCAAGGCTACCATGTCAACAACAAGCAGGCCTGTGGGGGAGGGTCTCACTGGGACCGGGGAGCTGCGATAGTGCTGTTGGGAGGCAGAGTATTTAAAAAAAAAAAAAGGCCCTGTTTCACTTGGTCTATTTTGGGTTTTTACCTCACCCCCCAAGCATGATGATGCAGGCTTGTCTGAGAACTGCATCTTGTCGGGAACGGCCTGCCTTCTTTAAATTTCACTTTGTGCCATGTTTGTGATGACAAGGCATCGGACCAGTGTGAGCATAATGGCACAGCTCCCCCAGTCTGTTAGGAGGTTTGCTTGCGCTGTGTGAATTTGGTTAGTACTGATAGCACAGAGGTATGGCAGGTAGTCTTACTCACTCACTAAATAAAATGTTACTTTATTAACCGTCTGTTTTCTAAACTGCTAATGGTAAAACGGATGACTCATAAAGAATGACTTTTAATTAGAGGTTTAATGATATTGCTGAACTGTAGGAAAACATGCCTTTGACAAGTAGAGACTTCATTAGATGAAAGCTAATGCATGGATTTATGAGCCCTGTGGGGTGGGGGGTGATTCTGTGTGCCAGGTCTCGGCAGATGCTGCTAAAAGCAGCTCCATGCAGCAGCTGTGCAGAGACGATGCTGTCAGGAGCGCAGAGCTGCCGATGATGCAGGCTGGAGACGTGCTCGGGGGCTCCCTGAGTTTCCCTTTATATGAATAACCTCCCCCCCTCTTTTTTGCGCAGATGAACGGGACAGAGTACAGAAGAAAACCTTCACGAAATGGGTCAACAAACACCTGATCAAGGTACACTGAGGAGCTGCTTTGTCTCTCCACAAATTCCTTTAATTCACTCTGTATCTGTGGCTCAGTGTGTCTAGTACTGTCTGCTTCCTTTCATGCATTCTGGATCTGTGGCTCAGCTGTCTGTAGTACTGTCTGCTTCCTTTTCATGTGCTCTGTATCTGTGGCTCAGTGTGTCTAGTACTGTCTGCTTCCTTTTCATGTGCTCTGTATCTGTGGCTNCTGTATCTGTGGCTCAGTGTGTCTAGTACTGTCTGCTTCCTTTTCATGTGCTCTGTATCTGTGGCTCAGTGTGTCTAGTACTGTCTGCTTCCTTTCATGAGCCCTGTATCTGTGGCTCAGTGTGCTTGTAGTACTGTCTGCTTCCTTTCATGTGCCCTGTATCTGTGGCTCAGTATGCTTGTAGTACTGTCTGCTTCTTTTCATGTGCCCTGTATCTGTGGTTCAGTGTGCTTGTAGTACTGTCTGCTTCCTTTCATGTGCCCTGTATCTATGGCTCAGTGTGTCTGCAGTACTGTCTGCTTCCTTTCATGTGCCCTGTATCTGTGGCTCAGTGTGT